AATAAATGTATCTTTTATTCAATTAATGCTATTATATTTTGTGAAATATTTTACTTTGAGTTTGTTTTAGTATAAGTTTATTAGCCAATCAGATCTTGTAAAATTATGAAATGATCTATAAAAATTAGCCAACCAGAATAAAAGCCTATTATGCTAAAATACATGTGATTAGATATTTTCAGAAATTTTTGGTAAAAATCTTTATCCAAAAATAGACACATCCTATATATTAAAAAGGGGTGCTTATTTTTGAAGATTTATGGTATACTAAAAATATCAACTATATAAAACCTTTTTTAAGGGTTATTAATACTAATTGTATAATAAAATTTTACAATGAATTGTGACCAAATTGATTTTTGGTATTCACAATTTTTTATATCAATTAACTATTCAATGCATAATATTAAAAGCTCTATTGATATAATTTTTAATTTAGCTTTAATAGTGATCTTGAATAAGTATTTACTAAAGCAAAGCTGCTTATTGATTATTGGTTGCTTGTACAGTCATGCTTAAGATAATGAATTTTTGTATAATGTTACTATTGTTTGAAAGAGTTTTTACAATATTAGCATAATCTAGCTCAAATAGTTAACTTATATTTTCTTTAATAACTTGTGCATATGGTATTATGTAATTAATTTGATCAGAACATTTAATTATATTTACTGGTAAGAAACGTGACAAAAATTAGATAATTTTTTAGGAAAGAGAGGATAAAAAAAGTTAAAATTATATATAAGAACCTGATTTTTTTTATATTAAGAGGGGAGGGGGTAAGCCTCTGATAAAAAATAATTAGGTGATAAATGATATTGCTTTAATCAATCAGGTAATTAATTTAACAAGCTTAAACCTAGATCAAAACAGTTTGTAATATAAATGACGTGTTTTACAAATATCAATGTCCTCAAGGTGGATGATGTATACAATATATTTAATAAACAAAGAGGAATAATAAAATATATAATATGATCATAAAGAACCTTCATGGTTAGGAAATAACAATAAATATAATAAACTTATAATAACAATTTGAGAAATAAATTCTTAATACTCCTATATTAAAGATATTAAAATCTAAAGCTTTATTTGAAGAGCGAAAAGACAGCTCTTTTATCTTTTCAATTACAATAAAAAAGGCTTGTACAAATTACTTTGACTAGAACTATATATTCGCTAAGCATCCTACTATTTACATACTTTCTTTACCTATTATCAATCCTATTAACTAAGCTTTTCTATTATCTAGTTACTCTGCCTTACTTTCTTTTAATATTTTTCTAAGTTTAGCTTACTTCTAGTTATTATACCTTAATAAACAAGCAACAATCTTTAGATATAAAAATAAACAAAAATGAAGAATTAATAAATATTAAGGCTCTTAATAACCCAAGCCTTAGCATTTACTTAGCTTCATTATACTCATATGACTTAAGGTTTATACATATTTTCATTACTACCCATATATTACCCAGTCACAATTTTCTTAGAAAATCGTAACAATAGTGAATATTTTGAAATAACGAAATTTTTTGCATCATAATTGTGTCTTTGTATTCAGATAACCAAATATTTCTATATAGTGAAAGCATTAGATCAGAATACGGATTTTGCTATATCGAGCTTTAACATACATATAATTTGTTATAAATAATTTAAAAGCTGCTCGATACATATGTATCAAGGCAGCTTTTGTCTTGAATCAGTTAATGATCGAATATTAGATCAAATGAAAGTATGAGATAATTAGTAATATGATCATTAATTAATACTTTATTGATGTAAGTTAATATTTAATAGATCATAGCATATTAGTAAGCAAGGAAAAATTGATTGTACATAGTTAATTTTGTCTTTTTTGTAGACCTAACTTTGTGTGATCTGCAGTTATAAATAAGAGAAGATAGAGAGATTTGACAGACTTGAATATCTAAAGTAAATAGAGAGAGTATGCATTTTGCACAATTCTATATACAACTGTATAAATTGATTGATAGCGAAAAGGTAAAAACCCATATGTGCTCTTCATAGTAATTTAGTTCAACAAAAGAGTGACAAAACAAAATCTGAATCAGGAGTTAATTAAATAAATTAGATCACAGTAATATAATTTATTTGAATTAATTAATTTAATATCAATAAAATAATTAATTTATAAAAGAAGTTAAAAGTAAAGTTCCTGTAATTAAAAGTTGTATTACTATTAAATATATTTATATCAGCATTAGTACAGAATTTTTTAATGTAATAATAAAAAAAACTTTACTATTACTTTTTAAAAATAAATCAAATCGAAGAATATTTGGGGTTTGCAAGTAAATTATTTATTAAATAATATAAGAAATACCAAATATTTTAATCTATTGCAAATAATAATTTGATAGTTTGAGTCTAATATTAGACTCAAATTTAATAAACATATATAAATATCTTGGTTATATTCATTATACCTACTAATAAATATGCCTAAACTACATAATTTTCGAGAATATTTTATATTAGTTAATAATCCAACTAATAAAACAAATGCAAGAGCAGTATATAAGGGGAGGGCTATTTATTGGCTGATATTTTTTTATTAAAAAGCTACCCCCTCCCCTCTATCTGTTTTTAAATAAAAATTTTAATTGGCTAAAACTATATACCTGATAATTTTTTTTACCCTCCTCTCTCTCTAAAAAATCAGCTGATTTCTGGCACTCTTCTAATTGTTGTGCACTTAAAAATGACAGAATTCAAGAAGCAGCATTAAAACCTGAATATTTTATATCAAATAAAGCTAATTTATATAGAGCTCATTTGGTTAAATATGAGAATTTTAAAACAACATTTACTGAAAATGAAGTTGCTGAAATATTGGTATGACCTGTGGCTGAAGATAAATAAAAAATTTTATATAAAGATAAAAAATTTAAATTATAATCAATAGTTATTTATAACTATTAATAATAATTATTTTTTTTAAATAAAAAGATAAACATAATAATTTATCTTCTAAGCGCCAAAAAAATTCAAGCACTAATTCTAACAATAAAAAGTTTCATTGTCTAATATCAAGCAAAGATATACCTTATTTAGAAAATTTAGTACTTAGAATATGTATTTCTAATGGACTTCCATTTTCTTTTATTGAAAATGAAGAAACCAAAACACTATTTGACTTTATTATGCCTGGTCTCAAACTGCCAGATCATAAAAAGTTAGGTAGACAAATTTTGAATGAAGCATCAAAAAATCTGCAGGATGAAATTTTAAAAATCATGCAAAATGATATAAATAGTATTACTACAGTATTTGATGGTTGGATTAATATGAAATATGAACATATCTGAGATGTAGTTTTTATTACTTCACAAGGACAGCCTTTAGTTTGGAAAGCAGAAGAAATTAGTATACAAAGATTATGTACAGAAGATATAATACAATATATAGCAAACTTAATGACTGAAGCTCAAAACAAAAAAATAATAATTAAAGTTTTTGTTTCAGACTCTGCCGGAGAATATAAAGCAGCTTTTAATAATTATTATAATGTATTTCCTTTTAAATGTTTTTGTTTCTACAAATTTTATAATAAAGCTAGAGATTGTACTTATTAAGAAAACTTCTACTAAAGTATTATTAAATTATCTAGTTATCTGAGTAATTTATTATAGCTATATAATAAAATATTACTCAGATACAATCTCTACTATATTATAGACTCAATATAGTAAAATTCATATTTTGACCTAATGCTTTCACTCAAAATATTCACTATGCAAAAGTTTGTTATCTCAAGTGTTGACTATAGATTTAAAATTATATCAACTGTTTAAAAGACAAATTATTTACATATACAATATATGGAAAAAAAGATTTGCAATATTATATACTTATTAATATTGTAAACCTATTATATTGAGTAGAATTTATTATAATATTATCTAAACTTTTAATCTATTGTATAGTTAAAGCTTGATACAATGAAGTTCAAGAACTGATCAAATGCTTTCGATATATAGAATTCTTCAGATATTAGAAAACAAATTTATATATTCAAACACATATTTGTCATATAAAAAATTTCATTATATTCAAATATTCATTGTTCGAAAGATATTACGGTAGAGGCATAGTGACCTGTTTGTGTGTATGTCTGCAAATTAAGGCTTTGGATTGGTTGATCAGATTAAACCAATTATTATATTCTGAAAATAGCTGTTTGGTCAGACTGATCTGTGTTGGTTTTTCCTTCGGACTTAAAATGGTTTCCATTTGCCTAATTATAGAGAAATTTGTTACCTTGAGCTTTAACTATATCAAGACTTAGTTTCATTATATATACAAAAAATCTGTCATATTAAGAGTTATTGTATATATATTTTTTTAATAATCCTAAAATAATAATTTTTATTTTATTTTAGATGTCAACTTCGACGAAAATATCTCAATAAAATATTTCTTTCCTGTATAGCTCATCAGATGAATTTAGTTTTTAAAGATATATTTAAGGAATATGAATTATTTAAGCATATATCAAAAGATGCTGTATGGATTGTTAAATTTTTCTATAGTTCTATATATTTTATGGGTATTTTATAAGAAGAGCAAACAAGAATTTATAAAAAAAATATTTCATTAGTATCTTCTGGAAATACTCGCTGGTGCTCTTACTATTTTTGTTTCTATTTACTTATAAAAATCCAAGCTGCTTTAAAAGTAAGATTTTTTTAAATTTTATTTTAGTCAATATTATTTATTTATTATATTTATTTATACTGTATATGCTTTATACAGTTTTTTTTAGCAAAATATAATGAACATCGATCAAATGTATTACAAATTAACAGTGTTCTAACTATACTAGCAAATAAAAGCTTAAAACACAATAATCATAAAGAATTAAAATTACCTGATGATATAGCGGATATAATTAATGATTCAGAATTTTGGAGAACTTTATCTTCATTACAAAATTTGCTTTATCCTTTATGTGGATTTTTTAATAAATTACAAAAGGATATCGCAAGATTATATGAAGTTGTGTACTGTTTTGCTTATATAATCAGAATTTTTTTAAACTATTCAGATAAGGAGTTTGCTACAAAAATAATTAATCGTATAGAATATCGATAGAAATATTGAAAACAACTATTATTGTTATTGTCGATTGCTCTTTATCCAGCATACAAACTTTCTAAATTTAATAATTTGGTTATGAATCTTACTTGGACATATATTGATAAATAGTTAAAATATTATTTTTAGGCATTTTTTAATAAACTGTTACAATTAATTCATAAAGAGATGATTAAATATAAATGAGAAGAAGATCCTTATAATAATACATCATTTTAGCAATTTCAAAGCAATCTACTTGATTTTTGGGAGTCTACAATAGGTACTAGTTCTGAATTAGCTAAATTAGCTATACATATCCACGGAATATATATAAACTCTGCATCAGTTGAAAGACTTTAGTCTTATATGGGATTTTTATATACAACTAAATAGAATAGATTATCTGTATATATAAATTTTGATTTATGTAATTACTAAATAATTATAATGCTATATATGTATTAATAATTAATTTTTTTTATTATATAGTCTAAAAAAGTATTGACAATGAGCCAAATACACAGTAATATTTTATTTAATTGTAACAATCAAAAAACAAATAATCAGCAAATACAAAATTCGCATATTGCAACACCTATTTTATATGATTCCAAAGAAAATGAAATAGAGCTAAATAAAAATATTAGTGTTAGTGATTTTGAAGATGAAGAGAACACAAATATTTAATTTTCGGAAAATAATGTTGATAAGTCTATTGATGAATCTATAACTGAAGAAAAAAATTAATAGATTGCTATTATTAACCAATGGATTGAAGCAACTCGATATGAGAATTAAGTAGATGTTACAAGAAATCAGATATTTTTAGATAATGAATTAGAAGAAGATTTTAATTTAGCTAGAAGAAATATCCATTCTGCTAATAATACCTCGGCCAAGTAGGATTTAATTACCTTATTTGTAGATAATTTAGAATCTTCAGTTTATTTAACACAAATAACAAATTAAATTTTCAAATATCAACATATAGAAATTTGCTTTTTTGTAATCTGTGCTATATGCTATATGCTATATATATCTATGCATGTGTATTTGTTGTATAGTTCTAAATATAATACAATATATATAATATGAGGCTCTAATTATAACAATATGTAGACTCTAGCTTAATACATGTGAGTTCTACAGATATTTGTACATATATACATACTTTTTACATATTACTTTTTCTAAAATATTGAAAAAGAAAGTATATACAAATACAAAATAAAAGTAATACCAATATTATAGATACAATAGTAAACAATAGTAAAAACATAATTTTTAAACACAAAAATTGGTAGGCTAATCTCAATTTGTATATTCACTTGCTGGATATTTGGCTTTTTTTTTTTGCTGAATTTATTTTCTAATAAAATAATAATTATTGATTGTTAACGTTAAAGATTAGAGCAAAAAAATTTGCAAATTATTTCTACATTTTTTTAAATTACTTGATCATATTTGCTATAATAGACTAATATTTTTCTACACAGTAATATAACCCTCTTTTTTCTAATATTATCATTATTATAATCTGTCAATTAAAATAATTCCCACTTGTTAAGCTAATATAAATATGTTAAGATAAAATACTGTATAATGGTACAAATTAGTGAACTTGAATGATTTAAGTATATTAATAAATTAATGACCTCATATATACTCACCCAAGTTGGAAAAATGATTATTCTTATCCATTAAACTAAAACTAACAAATAAGAAGAAGTACTATAATTATAGAATTAATTAATAATTACTATTCTATGGATATAAATGTTTGTAAATCATGATATCTAAGCCCACAATATAGATATGATAATAAATTCAGGTATTTGAAAATATTACTGTATTTACAAGATATATTATTTATTTATTACAGAGGAGTTTATTATCTGGTTTTATTAACTTTTGACAGTTTTGTCATTTTCTACCTTTGCCATTTTTCACAGTTTTATTATTTTGCTTTTAGTAAAAGGCAAAATTTGGTTTTATCTTTTATCTAACAATTATAATCGATTCTTAAAATTTTTGAAATAATTATTGAGAGTCGATTCTTCCATCTGCAACTTTACAACTAATTACTATAAACTAAATTCTTAACAGTTGGTAGTAAAATTCAAAGCCTTATTTTGTATCGTAAGAATAACTTACTAATTATAGTTTAGCCTTTTGTCTCTTTAGATTTTCATCAGACTTTAATTTTTATCAAGATTTCATGTTTCGCCTTTTATTATTTTTGATTCAAGTTTCATCTTTCAGCAAGATAATTTGAGGTTTTACTATGATTTTGTCTTTTACCATTTTTCAGTTTTGGGTTTTGTCTCTTATCACTATGCGAAATAGTTTTGCCTAACAACTATAGAATTGATTTCTATCTCTAGACACAAAGGCAGTAATTGGCTATACATAACTAGTTTTTCTAATCATTTCTATAATTTAAAGAGATCGTTAAACTCGCCAAAATAGTCAATATATAGCAGTACTAATAAATATAGTCAATATATTGAGTATAGTAAATATAATAAGCATTATGATATCCAGAATTATGCGATATGATAGGGATAAATTATATGATTTGACCGAGATCAATTATGCGATGAATACGAAAGTAAAATTATTTAAATTATATTATTATTATAGTATTATAAATATTAATCCAAAAAATTATTTTAACCTTGCTTGTATTTTAAGTTCTTTCATTTTCTGTATCTGAACTTTCTGCAATTTCTCTCTATTGCATCTTAAAAAATACATCTACTAAACATATTTGAGCTACATAACCTGAATACTTTTTTTTTGCTTAATTATACAATATAAAAAAATGGTCAATTATACGCATAGCATCGTACCAAGTATAATAAATAGGGTAAGATAGTCAATCTGTTAATATAGTGAATATATTCATAATATATATATTAATAGTACAAAAACTATTAAAACGAAAGAAGCTTGAGAAAGTTTAAAAAAAGTAAAAACACATTCTAATAGTTAATTTAAGTGTTTAGTTTTAATAATCTCTGATAGTAAAAGTCTAGTTAGTAAAAACCTAGGTATTTGAATTAGCCTCGTGATGTAATCTAGAGCTCTAATCCAGAACATTAATTACTCTGATCAATCTACTTATACTTCGATGAAGTTGTTTTAGGTAGTTGTTTGTATACTGACCCATATTGGTTTCAAAGCTATTTAACCCTTTCAACATATATATACATGTATATAATATTAT